GCATAGGAGTTATCCTCCTCGTCCTCGCCTTCATAGTTTTGGCCGAGGAAGGTGCTGTCAAAGGGCGGCGGGACGTAGTTGACGCCGCGAAAGAACGCCGTCATGTCGTGGTGTTGGCGTTGCAGCGTCCAGTCCATCCGCTCGATTGACTGCCCCATGCCATCCACTGTGAGGGTTAGCCGATTCAGAGTATCGGCTATGGACTGTAAGGACGCCTTGGCGGGAGCGGAGGCAGGGGCAGGGGCACGGGCACGACTCGGTCCAGCGCCGGTTCCGTCACCGGACTTCTTCTGGAAGGTGCTGTCTTGGATGATCCAAATCTTTGTCATCTTCGTATCCGGGCCGGCGATGGAGATGTCGGTGGAGATGATGAGGTCCATGACGAGGAAAACGTATGGCAAGCTCCGCTCAGTGGCGATGGAGGCGCAATCCGCCATGTGAATCATGACGTATTTTTCCCAATTGATCGAGGCGCCGTGGGTGATAGCATGAACCGCCTTGAGATCCTCGTTGAAGAGACATGTGTGGCTACCGTCCCGGGGGCGAAGAATCCGGGTGAGGATGTAGAGAAGAAGACGCTTCTCCGGCGGGGCTGAGTGGATTGTTGGTGCGCCGCTGTGACGGATGAGGTTGGTGATCCCAAGCTCTCGGGTGACCACAGCCTCGTTGTTGAGGATCCAATCATCGCCGCCATATGTTGTTATGTCGTCACCGCGGGTGGGCAGCCCTGCGACCCGAGCGAAGGTAGCCAGATCAATCTCTATGTCGTAGAGATTGATGCTACTGCGAATTGTGTCCCCGTCCCGGCGGAGATTGGAGTAGAAGGCTCGCACAAAGGCGGGATTGAAGCTCGAGCGGCTCCTGGAGACGAACGACCACAGACCCGATGCTTCAAGCTGGTTGTCGAGGTCGTGGTACCCCTTTTGTTGAGGGTACAACTCGGGCAGCACCCTAGGCGGAGAAATGGGACACTTGGCAAAGTGCGTGAGGAAGCGGTTGAGTTCCTCCTCCGACCCGAACTCCAAGAAGGATCCGTCCAGGTATGGAAAGGGTTGAGGCGCAGAGCTCGTAGCCTCGGCGACGGCCTTTTTCTTCGAAGCTTTTGTCTTCTTTCCTCCGGCCATGATTGAAGCAAGAATTTGAAGAATTGTGAAGAATAAAAGATGAACTATGAAATATGGAGGAGAATTGTGAGGATGAATGACCAAATATGGTGAATATATATAGGGAAGGAGTGGAAAAACCGAGAAGAATTCAAAAAATATGTCTGTTGGGCATTTAATCTATTGCCCAACGGTTATTTTTTTTTTGAATTTTGGCAGGCTCCCATCGATGGTATGAACTAACCATCGATGGGATGATCACCACTGGAAAGCACGGAAGAGATTAAGGCTGCCTTCCCATCGATGGTCAAACTCACCCATCGATGGGAGGGTGGCTGCTGGAAATCCGTTAAAAACGTAAAAAAAACAAGTGTCAAACACCCATCGATGGGAGAGAGTTACCATCGATGGGATGGGAGGTTCAGAAATTTTTTTTTTGATAAAAGTCCTTCACCCAGCGATGGGACAAAGTACCCATCGATGGGTTAGGGTGTTCTGGAAATCCGTTAAGTATTTTTAAAAAATTAGAGTCAATTACCCATCGATGGGAAGAAGCACCCATCGATGGGAAGAGGGGTTCTGGAAAAAAAGAAACTTCCCTCCCAGCGATGGTATG